CCCAAAAGGGACCCTAATTTAGAGATCTACCCATGTGTTGGTGGGTTTGGGGGCCCCCAGGATTTCGGCGCCACACAGATTGCCGCTGTTCCCATCTACGATGGTGTGTCGATAGCTGACTGCGTCGCCTGCGGCTCTGGCTTGACTTAAATATTCCAGGTTCCGGCATATTAGGTCACGACCCTTCTCCCGGGAGGGGCATAGGATTCTGTTTTTATTTGTACATGTGTGTGTATACACATATATATATATATATACATGTATATCTATATCTATATATATATATATATATAAAATAATAATAACAATAATAATAATAATAACAATAATACTCATAACAATAATAATAATACACATGAGGCATATTTTTGGCATGATATGTTTACCTTTACTTGTCCGTATATGTATACATGTACAACTACATGTATGTTTTGATTTATTTGTCATTTCAACCCTGGAACTATAAGCCGCATATTTTGGAATTTTGCACAACCCTAAACCCCAAACCCTAAGCCCTAAGCCCTGAGCCCTTAAATCCTAAACCCTCTGCCCAAACCCTGAACGAAGCGCCTCAGGCTTGGAGTTCGGCGGCGCCGAGTTGACGGGCTACTTGATGCAGTGACTCGGACTGACAAGTACCCTAAACCCCTAAACCCTAAATCCTAAACCCTAAACCCCTAAAGCCTAAACCCTAAAGCCTTAAGGTTTTACAGTTTTGCGGGTTTCGAGAGTTCATGTTTTAGGGTTCAGACTGGGTTGAGGGCTTTCGTGTTGTCGGCTGAAGTGTTCAGGTTTATGTTTTCTGGGTTGATAGTTTCCAACATTCCGGTGTCTGCCGTAAATGCGCTTTGGGCTTCAGTAGCTTGTGGGCATGGTAAGCAGCATCAGGGGTATCGGTTTTAAGGCTTAGGGCTTACAGGTTTATCTGCCTGGTGCTTAGTAGGGAATGGGGGAATGGGTTATAAGGGCTACTATAAGGGACCTTAAGGTACTATCACAGGGATCCATTCCCCCATTCCCTACTAAGCACCAGACAGTTATGGGAGATGGGTTTGTTGTAGCTCAGGGTTCTGGCCTAGGGTTCTGGCCCATGCGTTTAGAGTTCAGGGTTCTACAAGGTTCTAGGTTCCCCAGTAGTACCCTTTTGCCCTTTTGCTTATTGGGTTCCCTTATTAAAACCAAATAGTAAGGAAAAAGGGTACCCTGATCATTAAGGGGCTACTGGGGTACCTAGCTAAACCCTAAACTCTAAACCCTAATCCCTAATCCCTAAACCCTAAACCCTAAACCAGCACCAGGTTCTACGGCAATGAGAATGCCCAACTCCATGGGTAACTTACGAGCTTTCCGTCAGTAAGCGTTGCTCTCGGAATGAGACCTGGGCCTTTGAATGGCGGGTATGATACCCTAGAGCTGCAGTTGCATGAAGTTGAGGGTTTAGGGTTTGGGGTTTAGGGTTTAGGGTTTAGAGTAGGCTGCCAGCCATATATCATGTAACCCAATAACCCTATATTCAGGAAACTGGAGCCCTCGGGATAAGCACGATCCCTAATATCCGAGCTTATGTTGCATCCTTAACTCTGCACCTCCAAGCGAACTCAACAAGAGGCGATTTAGCCGCGAGCATGTCAAGATGATGGGCAAAGCCGCTAGAATCAGCCACAGGCGGCTAGAAGCCAACGGTATAGGGTTTAGAGTTTAAGGACAGGGCCAGCCTGACAGAGGTTGCCCAGAGAGCCCTGTACCCCTCAAGGTCCCTTAAACCATACGGGGCTTCATATTATGATTGAAGCAGTATTCGTTATTCAAGGGGGTATTGGGCTGCCTGGGTATGTACATCCGGCCCGTGCCGCACGCGCAGGAGGAGGAACTGAGGCGGCAGGGCAGGGCAAAGGCCAAGGCAAGAACAGGCCCCGAAACCCTAAACCCTGAACCCTAGCCCAAAGGGTCCTATGTATTCTTATGGAGTATACTTCCCCAAATCAGAATGGTACTTCCTAATATAGAAACCTACATTCTACTATAAACCCTAAACCCCAAACCCCAAACCCTATAAACCCTATAAACCCTAAACCCTACAACCTAAAACCTAAACCCTAAACCTAAACCGTCATTCTACTATAATAGGACCCTTTGGGTAACCACAGCCCGACGCCGACATCGGTGGCGCCGCAACTGCCGAGCCCAAGGCCGCAGCGGACGCGGTGGCGTAAAGGACCTACGTTTGGGGGTTTAGGGTTTGGGGTTGAGGGTTTAGGGTTTAGGGTTTAGTGTTTAGGGTTTAGGGTTTGGGGTTTGGGGTTTAGGGTTTAGGGTTTAGGGCTACTTGGAGGCCCAGGGGGCTTAGTAAGTAGGTTATAAGTAGAGTTATAAGTACTTTTTACCGACTTACTAAGTCTCATGGGCCTCCAAATTGGCTTTGGGGTTTTGGGTTTAGGGCCTAAACTACTTTTAGGCTCCATCGTAGTTCCTTTCTTGGTTTAACCAACTCTATAGTTGAGATCCCAGAAGGTAACCCCACAAAGGAAGCACAATGGAGACTATAAGTAAACTATGGTGTAGAGCTTTCGATGCTCCAGAAAAGAAACCCTAAACCTAAACCCTAAACTAACATGTAGCACAACATTGGGAAAGCCCGCCGTTAGCCAGGCGGGGTACCAGGCTTTAATCGAGTTTTCATCTTGGACCCAAACCGCTGGCTAAAGCCTGAACCCTAAACCGCTGGTTTTGAGTACAATACCCTAAACCTTAAACCCTAAACCCTAAACCCTGAACCCTAAACCCTAAGCCCTAAACCCTGAACCCTGAACCCTAAACCCTAAACCCTAAACCTTCATCCTTTACTTGACCTCGGATTTCGAGACGGAACGATGCATTTTGGGGGCTCCTGGCTTGGAACATAATTTCGATCTAAAGCACTACGGCTGCAATCCGCAATCTTGGGGAGTTTCCGAAAAGTAGGGTGCCTTGTTTTGGGGTCCTTTGAAAAGGATCCTACTATTTGGGTACTATATTAGGGTCCCCTTTTTGTTGGAAACCCCCTCTTTTCACCAGCTCAATTGGTAAGGTTGTTGACCGACCGTGGCTATTACTTCCAGTCCACTCAAGATCGCATCATTGCCGACGACATCAAGGACAGTCAAGCGCAAGCCCTAGACCTTCTAAGCCCTTAGCCCTACCCTAAACCCTAAACCCTTAACCCTAAACCCTAAACCCTAAACCCTAATCCTATACCCGAAACCTCAACTCGAAACCTAAGCCGCCGAGGCCCAAAACCCTCAACCTGAAACCCTCAACCCCAAGCCCCAAACCCAAAATCTGGGTTTAGGGTTTTAGGGTTTAGGGTTTAGGGCTTAACCCTGAGCCTGCTAAACCCGAACCCAGAGAGCCCAATGCCCCTGAATTAAGCAATATACATTAAACTATAAGGGCTTAATATTTTGGTTTAAGATATACATATTCCTGAATTACGAATTACAGGATATGTCGCAACCCGCAGGTTCTCGAGCCCGATTCCTTTCATGACGAAAGCTTCATGCGATCTACAAACTGGGGTTTAGGTTTTAGGGTTTAGGGTTTGGTGTTGAAATACCTAGTTAATTAGTTAGTTCGTAGTCGTCTCACCCTCAGTCAGAGTACGGATAGATAGTATACCGTGGAATGCCACCCTTGGCCTGCTCTAGCTAGTCTTGCCCGCAGATACCCAAGACCCCAAAACCCTTAAACGATTCCTGTAAACCTTGATAAAACCTTATAGTTTAGGGTTTAGGGTTTATAGTTAAAACATGAGTCCTTCATTGCCTAGACCCCCCCAACCACCCTCCATTATAACCCGAAATACCCCACTGTTATGGACCATAAGCGCTCTACCAGAGAGCTTTGTGGGGTCGTGGTAGGGTTGATGCTATAGATCCTGCACTACCCATAACAAGGAATATACCATAATTCCCATAGCTTAGGGTCCTTACGGTAATGCAGGATTTTTATCATCAACCATGCCCTAAACCCTAAACCCTAAACCCTAAACCCTAAACCGATAGGACTTAGGAGTTCAGGGCTAACGCTAGGCCCTACGCGACAAGTCGAACTTCCGAGCCGAAGGAGACGTTGGGCTAATGTAGGGGCCTTATTAAGGATAAAGTGGGGTTTAGGGTTTGGGGTTTAGGGTTTAGGGTTTAGGGTTTAGGGTTTAGGGGGCTCGGGTTACAACAGGGCTGTGGGGTATATCAGAAGGAACCCTAGGCCCTTATGTTGCAAGGAGAAGTTGGGATATGTGGCTTTGGACTTTGATGCCGAGCTCGCGACGACAGAGCAGGAGCGTGTGCCGCGGTCTAGGGCTCGGGATTTGGAGTTAAACCCTAAACCCTAAACCCTAAACCCTTAACCCTGTTAGGGTTCGGGGGTTTGGGGATTATCCGGATTCGGGGTCAGGGTTCAGGGTGTAGGCCTCAAGATTTAAGAGCCTACCATTTTTTCAAAGCCCCAGTGCGTTATGTTTGTGTCCTTTGGGCTCTGAGGGGCTTGGGGTTAGGATTCACGGCTTCACCGCAGAAGTTTGGTCCAGAAAAACACGGACCCTAGATCTCTGAACACTCAACCCTGGTATTCAGACTCTCAATCCCATCGCTGGTAAGTCAGCCTTCAATCCTAATCCCTAAGCCTTAAACCCTCTGGCTTAGTCAGTAAAATCAGTATTCCCTATAACCAGCAAAGGGTCCATCGGAGGATGCATTGTTGACACTCTAAAAGACGTCGGACTCCATAAACTTCCGGTTTAGGGGTGTTTTGCCAGAAAGCCCGATATTTCTTAATCAAGGAATAGATCTTAAACCATAATATTAAGCCCTTATAAGTGTTGCTTAATTAAGGGGTATTGGGCCCTAAACCCTAAACCCTAAACCCTAAACCCTAAATACCCTAAACCCTAAATACCCTAAACCCGAAACCCTAAACCCTAAATACCCTA